TCAGATTGAGCACTGACGCCTTTTCATCCGAGAGTGACAGCAGTCACACAATAGCCTCTTTAGCATAGTTGTAGCGTTTAGGATAGTTGTTTATTAGCAGAGGCAATAGATTTAGTTATAGATGCAATCTCTCTGCAAATAACAAAAAATGTTCTGAGAGCATGTCTAAGTTTTTCCTTAACGTTTATGTTGGTTTGGGTCTGGGAGGGTCCAGTGACTTTGTATACTTCCCATCCCTCTCGCTTGACCCTGTCTCCTCAGACAGACCATGACAAGGAATTTTCCAGAAAATAGCTTTTGTAACTTTCTACAATATTTTGAATCCAGCCGCCCCAAAATACTGGTATCTTCTTTAAACATACCATTCTTAAAGCTAACACTTATCTCTCAGATCATCGTGTGTGTTGCTTGTGTGCGTCCTCCTGAACTCTTATTTTCTTGTTTGTTCTTTTTGTTGTCAGCTATTCAGTTAAATCTATGCATCCACATGGGAAATCAACCTCAGGAGTCCACTATAACTACTCGGTAATTTTACCTGCCTTCATTTAAACTACAATCACACATGAGCGTTTTTATATTATTGCATACAGCATCACATCCATGACATAAGAAAGATGGGGACAAACTTTTTAGCAGGGCCTGTTGCGACAGGACAAAGAGTAATGGTTTTAAACTAAAAAAGGGGAGATTCAGACTAGATATAAGGAAGAAATTTTTTATGCTGAGGGTGGTGAAACACTGGCACAGGTTGCCCAGAGAGGTGGTGGATGCCCCATCCCTGGAAACATTCCAGGTCAGGTTGGACAGGGCTCTGAGCAACCTGATCTAGTGGAAGATGTCCCTGCCCACAGCAGGGGAGTTGGACTAGATGACCTTTAGAGGTCCCTTCCCACCCAAACTATTCTATGATTCTATTCTATGATTCATTTGGAGCCTACAGATGAGGGCTACTGTCCCTTGAGCCCAACAATATACAGCTAAGTGTAGTATAAACTGAACTCCACTTAACACCCTGTGTATTAAACATATCATTTGTCTATATGGCAATTTGAAAGTGGAAGGACTTGGAGAACACCTGAAAGTCTTTAAATAACCCCTCACTTTTTTTTAAATGGCCTTCAATTTATCTTGCAGTGATCTTCTTGCCCAACTCCACCAGGATCTGCCTTTGTTCCACTAAAGTTATTCATAACTAGTAGAAAAGATGAGGGTGCTTTTGTTTTGGGTTTTTTTTCTCCCTATTCTCAAGTCTGTGTTGCAGCTTTTTGAAGGAGTCCAAGCTAGAATGACAGAAGATCAGAAGTGTCTTTATTTTTCTTGCTTTCTTGGTAGAGAGAAGGGGCAACTTTTTCTGGTCTGATAAAGCTTCCAAAGAGTTTCTTTTGTGTGACTTCCTAGGACAGAGTTTCACCTCCTGACTGGGAAGCTTCAAACTTCAATCTAGAGACCAAGAGCTTAATAAAAGTCTAACACATGCAGAATTTGACTCAATAAGGGGATAACTGACTAAACCACACGCTACATCCCAAACACATTATGTGTCTTCCCACCTCAGTGTCCAACTTCACACCCAGTGCAGGTCTCTTTTAAGAGCTGACCTGATGCAAGTTATCCTGATTGTTTTCTCTATGAGGAATACATTACACCTGGGGTCAGAGCACCCTGTGACAACCCATGGGGTTGATGGGCCTAAACTTCACCCAAAGGAGGCGGTCCGCTGCTATAAAACAGCAGGTGATGCCAAGGGCCAGTTTTCAGACTGCTTTGTTTGTTTGTTTCTGTCTAGCCTGATTCTCTCCTGCAGACAGACAGAAAGTTTTATAACAGAGGAGAAAACCCAGGTAAATCGAATGATGGCTGAGGAAAAGCCTTGGGATAGGAAGGAATGAGAAGACAATTATGTCAGGAACTCAGTAATGAACCACATGGGCACGACTGGGAAAATGTGGTCTATTCTAGCTGGTTTATCAGTCCTTAGTATCACTAAAGTGGCTCAAATAAGCATAGAGATTTCCCTGTGCTTTCCCAAAGCAAAGTCCTGATGGTTTTCCTGTTATGCTGCAGAGCAGACTATTCCTTAAGCTGATTACAAAATAGTCATAAAACATTATGGTGCTAATTTTCAGCCCTGGCTCAAAAGACATCCAAATCTAAGAAGTGACAGGGTTTATATTGGCCTTTATAAGAGGAAATTTCTGTTCTAGAGGCACTGGAAGTGTTGATGTTCCTCTCTCCTTAACTTGTCCTAATTCTGTTTCCAGAGCATCCCTTGGGCTTGTCAAAGGTCTGATGGACAAAACCAGTAGTAATAAGAACTGTACTATCGCCTCGTCCCTTCTTCCCTGTGTAAGCTGCCTGCTTCTTGAAATGCATACTTTATCCTAGCTGGGCCTCTTGGACAAATGATGGGAAAGGTGGAAAGCTAAGCAATGGGCCAGTGCTATGTGCATTTCAGGTAATGGGTATTATTTTATGGGAGCTAACTGCATTGTCTGAGCAGTCCTGTGCAAAGCGGGGAAAAAAAGCCAAAGTCGTGCTCTCTTGTTCTTCAGTCTTCTTGGTGCTAGAGCGTTGGTGTGATGCTGGAAAAGAGCCTTTTCCCATTCTTCTAAGTGTTTATCTAGCACCTGATAATGTCTGAGCATATGAATGCATTTTAAAGGTTGAGATATGGAGGCGCTGAAGGGTGCCTAGGTAGAGCTACGTGGGTGTGTATCTTCACAAACCTGTACAAACTACAGTGGAACTTGGGCGAGGGGCTCCTGGGGAAGAGTCCACAGCTCCGGGTGAAGCGCAGGAGGTCTCTCTGCAATGCATCTTATAGGAGGGCTCCTGGTGCACTGAATGGGGCAGCGTCCAGGGCAGCCCATGGGGCTAATCCCAAATTTACCCAGTGCCAGGGTAGCTTGCTAATCCTTGGGCAGTTAACTTTCAACCTGGGGGACTGAGAATTCTTCCAAAAGGCCTATGAAAGAGGAGAGCTTTTTGCCAACGCAATTAGATTCAATATTCAGAGGCTTTTATTGCCTCTTCTCTCCTAAGTGGAAAGTGCACATGAACCTGCACATTTGAAAACTTGAACACCATTAAACAAGAGCATCTTCTTGGTTTTTTACTTCTCCTTACTGTGTGTTTTTTTTTTGGTTTTGGTGGGGGGGGGGGTTTGAGCTCATTGAAATGCTCTGATGTCCAGCCCCTTTGACCTTCTCTCTGTTTGCTTTGGTGGGCTGGCTTAGCATAAACTGAATTATTCAGGGTAAATACATTGTATAATTATTTGAAGTAAAAAGTCCTTGCAGAACTTTGGAGCAGCCTGTAATTCATCTGCTTTTAGAAATACAGAAACTGACTGTTCATCTAATCTCTTTTTTGGGTACCTGGTAGTTAACCTGCTGTGCAGCTCGTGTTTCCAGACGAGGTTTGCTCCCTCTGACGTGCTATAAGAAGTAGACAAGTTTTCAAGAAAGTCTGGTATAAGTAAAGCAGACCATAAAATTACACCTGTTTTATAGCAATTTTCATAGTTTTGCCGTTTATCTTTGTTTTGTTTTGTCATGAGGACAATTCCTGTAAAGTGTGTGTCTGTGAAACGGAATGAAGGGGAACATCTTCCTGGTGGGGTGGATGCCGTGTCTGCACGTTGCCCTGGCTTCAGCAAAGCGTGCTTTGTGAAATGTGCACCGTAAGAGAAAGTTCTGCCTCGCTTGTCACCTTGAGAGCTGCTGTAGGCTGAACGGCTTGGAAAAATGTGAAAAACGTCTACAGCAGAGTGCGTGTGGGTTTGTAAAGGAGCTTTAGGTTCCTGTTTGCCTTGCTGGGGATGTTATGCTGCGGTCAGATAGGATGGGTTGGTAGACCCATTTGAAAACCCTGCATTATGTAAGTTTAAAATGAGACAACCAGAGGGTCAGGGCAGAAGATGGACCATGGGGTGGGGATATGAACTCAGCACGGTTATCATCGTCTCTGTGTTGGTGGTGAACTGTTAAAATCTGCAGACCCGAAGGCTGCGGAGATCAGACCCGGTTTGATGTGAGGCCAGGTGAGGGGCAGGGCACGCAGGGATGCAAAGTTATAAAATATTGAAAAAAATCTTTTCTTATGCTAGCCTTTTTGAGCAGTTTAGCTAAACTCAGAAATCTGAGCAAAGCAAGCTCTGCTGCAAGAACGCGCGCCGCTCATCGGCACACGGCACTGGGGCTCTGACCCCAGAGCAGCGCAGCAGCTGCCTCTAACACGGCTCAGGCCTTAGGAAAAGTGATGAAGAGGTTGAAAATGGCTGGGCTGCAAAATTCTTGCCAGCTGTAAGTCTGGGGGGCTGTCCTTCCAGGCAGGATTCTCACTTCTGAAACTGCCGGCAGTAAGCGATAACTGCTACCAGGGCATAGTCCTGGGTTGTGGAGCTGCTCTTCCCTCCTGGTTCATCCCAGCCTTGCTGTAGGGAGCTGGGGCCATGGGAGCACGTAGTCATCCTCAGGGGAAAGCTCTGAAACTGAGCTGTAGGCAACGAACATCACCTCAAAAGTTAACATTTTGGCTGAACTAGAAGAAAGGGAAGGCAGAGGAAGAAAAATGCAGCCCAAACATTTAACTCGGGCAGGTACATCCAGGGACAGGATCAGCTGGGTCATGCCTGGTCCTTCTTTTCTCTCCCTGAGCCTCTGCTGTGGGGCACTTGTTGGACACACAGTACTCGGCTAGAAAATGCTGTGCTGTGACTTGGGCCCTTTGCACTGTGTCAAGTTCTCTTCGGGGCTTAAAGCAGCCCTTAAGACTTGACTGTCCTCAGCAGCAGCTATTGGCATTTTAAAAGTGCCTTCTTTCTAGTGCTGGGCCTGTAGAAAGCAACAAGCATCTCCCAAAGAAGCCTCTAACTCCTTGGAGCCACCTTAAATTCCCTGCTGTCTGCCCTACCTCTCCTCCCTGGGTAACATGCATGGAAAAAACATGATTCCTGGACACCGCCGACCCCCCAGTCTGTAAAGCAAGATGCTCCTTACCTCGATTAACTGTGCCATGGCAGCTCTCGAGCAGGACAAGAAGAGGGAGGAAGACGTCGCCCAGGAGAGAGGATGCTGCAAGGGTGGATCCCACGCCATCTTCTCTTTCCAGTATATCTCCGACTTCTGCGCTGTAGCCCAAAGCAGGGGAGGTTATGAATAACCCAGCCAGCTCTCAGCAGCGTTTAGCATTTACCAGAAGCGGTTGTGTGCTGCCCTGGCCCTTCTTTACTGCCTTCCTTTCTAAGCCAGCAGCCACAGAGCTGACGCCAGGGAGTCATTAATTAATTAGACTGGTGTCGCTTACAGAGTGCTCTGCTGCTCCTCAAGCCGGGCTTCATGAAGGGGGGAACGCAGGGAGCAAAGTAGCGCTCAGAGCTTTCGCTGCTCCCCCAGAGGAAGGTGATTCACTCATTAAAACCCTGACTTTGCATTTTGTTTTTTTTTTTTTAACAGCTGCCTGACTGATTCCAGCTCTCTTGTTCTTGTTTTTCTCCTGGCCTGTTGAGAGAATTCTCTTCCCCTAATGAAAAAGGGCTGTAAGCCCAGCTGATGCATCATCAGCATCATAGCTACCCTATGCTAGCAGAGTCCAGTGTTTCTAGAGATGAATATTTGACATCTCGGGATTTTAAAAGCATCTTTCATCCCTGAAGGATCTTGTGGATGTGTCGCTACAGTCTGCAACTTGATCTCTGAAGGGAGCTGAAGGCGACTGGGAAAGAGCACGTGCATAGCAGGCTGTAGAAGCTAAAGCTGCAGGGCCACCATCTCCAGCTCAGCTCTGCTCAAGGGGATCAAGAAAGCTATCTGAATGAGATGGGGAGGGAAAACACAGCTTGAGGGGTTTGAGAGAGCATGGGACACTCAGCTGGACTGTCCTTCCACCAAGGAGCAAACAAAACCTTCGGCCACAGAGCGAAAAAGGGAGTCAGGAGGAGAGTGACTGGATGAACCAGGCTTACTATATTCTCCCATACTCGTAATTTCTTGTAGCATTCTTTACTGGGAGAAGCCTGGGATTCTAGGTGAGAAAACAAGCAATGAGATCTGGGAGGACCTAGTCACTTCTGCTACTGTCTTCTAGCCCTTGTAGAGACATAAGCACAATTTCAGGAAAAATAGCCCCATAGCAAATTAATATTTTACAAGCTCAAATAGGCAGGCCAGCTTTAAGGTTCGCATTACTGATGAGATTGTGAAGATTAGAGGAGGGTGGAATGACGCCAACGTGTGCACTGCTTTGGAAGACAGGCAGCCGTTCGGTTCTCTGCTGCATTTGTGCTCGCTGCAGACTTACACGGTGAGTGTCAGCTGCTGTGGTCCCACGCGCGAGATGATGGGAAACTGTGTGCTCAGAAAATCAGAATAAGAATTGGGTGCGGTGGAAAGGGAATGCAGAATGCTGTGTTATGAGGTCTCATCAGCAGACAACAGACGGTGGCAGCATCGAGGCAGGGAATTACGCATATGACTCAGAAGTTGTGGAGCTTGGTCTTTCTTTCCCCAATGAAAATCCAGTCTGGGGCTCTGAGATCCCAAGCAGTGGTTTGCTGAGCTGGTTCTAATGTTTTTTCAGCTTGATTTCTTAAGGAAATGGGGCTTTTGGACATGATACTTTGCTTGCCCCTCTCCTTCTCCCTTCGCCCTACCTTCCCTCCTCTGGACTTCTAAAATTTGCTGTTGTTTTAATTCAGCTGAAATTGGCCAAGGGATAAAGGTCTGGGAGAATATTGAATTTCCATGCATTTCATTTAAAAAAAGTATGCCATTGGGTAAAAAATCAAATCAGCTGTAGTCCCCGTGGAAGGAAGAAGGACAATATGTGGACAATTCTTGCTGGACGCCAGAGGATCCATGCTGAGCAGAGATGCTATGACCAGCCGAGCCATGGGGAGCTTTGGTTTGTGCCTGCATCTTGCTAGACACCAGCGAATGCAACCGCAGGGCATAAATCCACGGCAAACTGGGCTGCCAGTCCTGCTTCCTTTTAGAAACCGTTGTCTAAGCACCAGTTTGTTTAAGAGGAGCTGGTGGAAATGAACCTGCTGTGCCCTGGGTCAAACACGGTGTGAGCTCCCTAAACCTCTGGGTTGCTATTTCCAGCGTGCAGTTTATTATTAGTGCCTTGCCCGTGGGCTGGAGTTCAACACTGCTCCCATCCTTTTATTTGCGGGTTCTCGAGAGGTGTAGGTTTTTGGTGGTTTTTGTTTTGTTTTTTCATGCACTGAGCAAGTTAGACTGCGACGTTCCTGTAGCTGATGGGGAGCTCTCTCCTCTCTGTGTGCTCGTGAGCCAGGCCTGCCGTGGCATCAAACCGCTGCTGGACAACACTTGTGCCAAGAGCTATGCAAAAATAGCACAAACAAACCTGATCGGGTTTTTTTTTCCGAACCTCCAGATTTCTTACTCTATAAGTCATTGAAGTCACTGTAATAAGTCACTCTGTAAGTCACTGAAGCTGAGTGCCTCCTTTAGTTTTCAGGGAAAAAAAAAGTGGATTTCTGCAGACTCCATACCTTTCAGCACTTCATAACTTCATTTCAGCTTCTTTCCTTGGGACAATTTGAAAATACTTGGAGTAGCTCAGAGCAGAATCTCCTGCTGGGATTTTAAATCATAAGATTTCATGTTGGCCTTCTATTCCTTTGAGCTTTCAGAGTTATTTTTTGTTTTGTGTTTTTTTTTTTTTAATTTTCTTTCATGACAAGGAGGACAAACAAACTCTTTATATGCAAGCATCTACTTCTAATTTGATGACTGACCCCTCGAGCTGGATATTTTATAAAGAGAAAAAAAAAAAGTGTTGCAAAACTTCTGAATTTAGCAACAGTAAGGAAGTGGGCTTTGCAGAGTGAGGGGAAATAGTTGTCTCTTCCCATATACAGCCCTACCAGCAACGACCCCTCACCGGATAAAGTTACTCATAGCCCACATTGCACACGCTGTTATGTACTCACCGATTAGTGGATGACCACCGATCTCTTAGTGAAACCACAGGCGCTGTTAAACTTGTCAGCTTCCTATTTATAGCTTGTGCCTTTTGCATCCTCTTGGGAAATAAATGAAATGTGGCTCTTGCTAAACGTGTCGCCTCGCCAGTCACTGCGGTGCTGGCGTTGTTGCTACGCAAAAGCACGACAATGCCGTTTGGGAGAACGTCGCAGTCCTGAACCACGCAAGTTTGCTCAGCGGGGCAGCAAGAGCCCCAGGGGTCAAACCGCTGAAAGGGGATGTGGCTCTTGCCTGCCTCCCCCCACCCTTTGCTGTCTGCCCACGTTTGAGCCGATGGGCAAATGGATGAAGAGCTGCGGGGGACTCGAGGTCTGGTCTCCTAGGAAATGCACCGAGCGCGTAAGAAGAGAGCAGGGAGGTGAGTCTCCTTGCTTTATTCTGGCTTTATGGATATTGATATCTGCCAGGTAGCTGCGATTTCTTAACAGAGATTTCTAATGCAAACGTCTTTTGTGAGAGGGCTCCTGAAGAGAGAAGTTGTGTGTCCTGCGTGTGCTCGTGCTCACTTGTGTCGTAAAACTGCTTGCAGGCACTGTTGACGGAAATCCAAGAGTGACACGGTGGGTGAATTTTGTGCACGTCACAGCTCTGTTACGCTGCTTGTTCTCCTGGGTGCACGTTGATTTCTTTCCTCCGTGTGCTTCGAAGCACCTTGAAGCTGCGGTAATTACAGGGTGCAGGGTTACAGTGTTTGGAGAGAAATAACCCTTTGCCATGCAGAATGCACATTCCTGAATGAGTGGGAATAAGGGATTTGGGGGAAGATGGAGGGTCTCCTTTCCTGCCCGAGTGTGGGATCATCTCTGTCCAACCACCCCCAGAGCCCCCATGTCCTCCAGCAATCACTTCCAGGCTTTCTCTGCTCTCCTCACTCTGCCCCCAGAGCAGTGAGGTCCCAAGCCCATGTGCTTGCCTGGTCTCCTGGGTGTTTGGAGATTTCCAGGGAGACCAGGCTCCCGGTTCCCCTTTGCTCTTCAGCCCAACCGTAAGCAAAGAGGAGGCAGTCCCAGGGCAGGGGAGGAGAGCTGGGAACCAGGAGAGGAGAGAAGCCAGGAGAAGGGAGGAATGGATCTTCTTAAATACCTTTAGCTGCAGTTTAATCCCCAGAGCTGATATCATGACATGTTTTTCCCTTCATCTTCGCAGCTCCTCTTTAGGTATTTGAAGGTTGCCCTCAGTCCCTGAAGACTGTGGCTAGGAAACCTCCTTTGGAGAGGTGCGGAGGCTGCATTTGTTTTCAGATGGCTCCGTCATAACTTGCCTGCCCCGTGCACCACAGAAGCGCGACAAGCTTCCCCACAGAGCTGAAGGCAAACTCAGGAACACCCCTAACGCTTGCCTACGGGGAGCGGCAGCCGCATCGCCCATCCACAGCTGCGTTTCCCTTTAAATTCTCTAAAAGCCATTCAAGTATTGAGTTGCTTGCTGAAACGTTGATGTGGAGACTGGCCAAGCGATGGCAGCCTGCCAGGGGTTTCCATGTCTACCAAGAATGTTTTGCAGTGCACCTTGGGAGAGGAACATTACTTCCTTGAATTTTTTTTTTCCCCTTTTTTTCCCTCCCCTTAAAGTGACTAAATAAAGTAGCTGAAAAGTTAGAGCAGGCAACTTTCATCACCAGCTCTTTCCATTCACATGGCTACATATCCTGGCTGACAGCTCAACCCATGGTAAGACGGACTTTCTGCTCAGGTGGTGTTTGGGCTGCCGGGAGATGTTACTAAATTGTTGTTGAAGTGGTCTCGTGGGAGATTGTGGTCTTATTGCAAAAGATTTGGCTCTGTGCCATGATGATCGGGGGTTACAGTTTTGGAAATGGGGTGATGTTGAGTGCATGACAGCATCTCTCTCCAAAGTTTATTGCTTGGGTATTTTGTAGGGTTAGGAAAGGATGCACCCATGTTTAAGACACAAGACAGTTTGGGGAGGCTGTTGAATTCGGCAAAATCCTACCATCTCTGCCTCCGTAAAACAGGAATGTTGCTCATTTCCTAGTTGCATCGAGGCAAATATTCACAAAATCCCTCCCAGTGCTGATGGACGTGTGCCACGGGAGCTGGATATAATGGTACGATTCACCGCAA